GCAGCTACTCAGCTGCTTGTGGTAGATCCCACCACGGAGTTGACTGCCAGTCTCATCATGGGGAATAACTACCTCCAGCTGCCCAGCTACTCAACCAGACCCAGCTAAGTTGACCCACAAATTCAACTACCACACTGGGGTCTTAAAAGCTTGTACATGGTCATGTGGAGGCACAATACCTGTCTCTAATTGTCTGGAGCAACAGAGGAAGAAGGATCGTCAGGAATAGGAGGAGGGTATGCAGTGTGTGGCTAACTGCCTCCATGAACAACCGCCTCCACTGCTATGAGACCAGAAGAACTGGATGGTGCCTGGCCACCATTACTGAGTATTTTGAGCAAAGATTCTATAGACAAATCCTGATCAAAAGGGGGAAAATACAGAACAGATTTTAAAATTCTCAGACTTTAGACTTTCTGGAGCCAATGCGGCTAGATGAACTCTTGAAATTACTGCCCTGAGATAATCTTTAAACCTTAAATCAAAACTATCCCCTGAAGTTTTCTTAAAACCAAACAATTTAGCTTCACTACTAAAAAAAGTCTGCCTTGAGCACTGTGCTCTTTTAAGGAATATCTATATGGGATCAGAGTGACAACAGCAACTCAAAAGGAGCTTATGTAAACGGGAGAAGAGCAACTCAGAAAAGGAGGGTGAGTATGGTTTCTCAACTTGAAGAATATAATTAATGTCAGTGACTTGTACATGGAGAAATGGTTGAACTGGTGGATGCTTTGCTGTGTATATTCTCAATAACAACAAAATAAATTTTAAAAAAGGACTGATGATGACGATTTCCAGAACAGCCAAATGAAGGATTGTACAGACCCCTTCTCTAGCGAAATAAACATCACTTGAAATTACTACAAACATTAAGGTCTCTAGCAATCGTTCTAAGGGCACATTGCAAAGGAAGAAAGATCTTCTCAAGAACATCTGCTATGGCTCAGGAGGAACCAGGAGTCTGTGGTGTGTGAGTCACAGCCCACTCTCCCCCAGCCCCAGGACAATGGGATGCAGTTCTCTACTCTGGCCAGCATAGCCAAAACAGGGCTTCCTCTCCCACCCAGCTCCCAGACTAGGGCTATGGTATCTCCCCAATAGGGAAAAATAGCCAGCACTTCTCAAACCACCCCCCTCCTGGCTCTGGGCTGCAAAGGCTCTACTTCAAGTACAGAGGCTGAGGTCTAAAGCTCCCTTCCTACACTCAGTTCCAACTGAGGAGAGTAAAAGCTTTACCAGAGTGGCAAGCCAAGGATACCAGGGTCCCCACTGCTATCACCCTACTGACTTATAAGATAAAGGTTCAACACCAGGAAAGGTAGCCTGAGAAGACCAAAGACTACCTACTATCCCTGCCCAGAGTCTCACTCATAAACAGTAGTTGTCACTCAGAGAAGTGGGCCACTGTCCTCACTCCCAGCTCTGGAGCACTGGCTCAGAGATTCTGCCCAGGGGAAAGAGACAGGCCATAAGAATAAAGAACTCCAAAGCTCTCCCTACATCAAGTGACTTTATTTGAAACAGAGTGTGGGAAATTCAAGATTAAATCAATGGCGATACAGGTGGTAAGCAATTAGAATCCGGTAACTCAATGAGCAACAAGCTAACTTATTTGTTAGTTAGTTCACCAGAGAACCAGGAAAAGGCAGAGCTAAGAGCTCTCATCACTTCAAAACAAACCCCAAAGACTGATCTCAAAAACTACCCCTACCATGGGGCTTCAATGTCATTGGATCAGACTATGGAGCAATCCATGCCCCAAACCCACTGCTATCAAGTCAATTCCAACTCACAGCAACCCTTTAAGACAGAGCACAACTGCCCCATATGGTTTCCAAAGCTGTATATCTTTATGGAAACAGACTGCTTTTCTCCCATGGAGCAGTTGGTGGCTTTGAACTACTGATCATTTAGTTGGCAGCAAAATGTTTTAACCACTGCACCACCAGAGCGCCTTAATTCATGCCCCTGGGCACTGTCAGGGGGAGCTCTGGTGGCATAGTGCCTAATGCATTTGACTGCTAACTAGAAGGCTGGCAGTTCAAACCCACAAGCCATTCCTCAGAATTAAGACTAGGCAATCTTACATAGAGATACCACCTCAGAAACCCAAGGAGGGGTCACTATGAGTCAGAATTGACTTGACGGCAATGAGTCTGGTTTTTTTTTTT